CCACACTGCACACTCATGCTTGGTTGTCTGCCTGTGAGATAATGGACACTTGAGCAGTCTATCATTCTGCCAACTTTAGCAATATACTAGCACCCAGCAAAATATTTTTATAACATTATCTTTTGTTGGGCAAAATGTATTCCCTGTTTGAGATGGATTTAGTCTTCCAATGTTCCACTAGGCTACCTTCCACCTCATGTATGTTGCACCTTTCTTACACTATTTCTAAAAAGGAGCTTATCTTTATAATTTCTCTGCACTAGCTGCTTCGCCATCTTAGTGTGGAATTCTAGCTCTTTGTGGTGTAGAGAAAATGAAACTGTATTTCAGATAGTTACCCACCTCTCTGCACTAGCTGCTTCACCATCTTAGTGTGGAATTCTAGCTCTTTGTGGTGTAGAGAAAATGAAACTGTATTTCAGATAGTTACCCACCTCTCTGCACTAGCTGCTTCACCATCTTAGTGTGGAATTCTAGCTCTTTATGGTGTAAAGAAAATGAAACTGTATTTCAGATAGTTACCCACCTCTCTGCACCACCTCCCACCTCACTTTTAGTGTACTTAGTTTGGCTTGTCAGCAATTGTTCATGTGTTAGTGCTCATAGGGAGTACTGCACATAGAGGATGTGTTCTTCTTCTAATGGTGGAAGGATATAGTCTAATGTTCAAGGCTTGTGGCATGTGCTGGAAATTACACAGGAGTGTGCAGGAGCTAAAGCTCTTTGTTGTGCAGAGAGGTGAGTATCTGTCTGAAATACATTTTCATGTAAGGAAAATGTTAACATTAGATTTTTAAAACTTGCTGGGATTCTTCTTTTGTGTTGTATGGCTGCTGGGGTTAAAGGCAAGGGAGCAGGAGTGAAAAAAACCCATAAAAACAGTAAGAGTAAACTCAAAACACACCACTCTGAAAATACCTGGCTTAAATACTCTGGTGAAACAAAGAACGTTAGGTATCCCAGATACTTCAAACAGTGGTCTACACTCAGTCTTATGTCGAGCCAGACATGCATATTTCTGTATTATCTGTGTGAATAGGCTACTTTCCAAAAACGTTCATATATACATGCTTACACATTAGCTTGAGATTCAGCAACAAAGGCTGCAATACTTAGACTTTATGTGTATAAAATGATTGACTTATGTTCATGACTTTAAGATATTTAGAATATCAAAACTACATGCAGAAACTGCATGGAAATTTAGAAAAAATATTTTGTAAATATACCTGAATAAAAGTTTCAACTGCACGTGTAAACTTAGTTAATAAAAGTTTCAACTGCACGTGTAAACTTAGTTAATAAAAGTTTCAACTGCACGTGTAAACTTAGTTAATAAAAGTTTCAACTGCTTGTGTAAACTTAGTTGATAAAAGTTTCAACTGCACGTGTAAACTTAGTTAATAAAAGTTTCAACTGCATGTGTAAACTTAGTTAATAAAAGTTTCAACTGCACGTGTAAACTTAGTTAATAAAAGTTTCAACTGCACGTGTAAACTTAATTTGGAATTTTTTTTTGCCATATTGTTTTGAGGTTGATTATGAGTTATATAAAAATTCCATGGAAACGATTTTTAGATGATTGCTTTATTATTTAAAGTAGTAATTTTTGTCTAATCTTGTTTTATAACGTTTTGAATCAAGTTAATATCTATCCAATTTACTTATCAAACGGATAATAGTACTTTATATTTTGTAAATGTTGTTGTTAAAGTAAAGGAAAAGATATAAGCAGACATTATTTATAAATTACAAAAGTCAACACCAAATTAATTATTCATGAATGTTCAGCATAAAGGATTTTTATTTCTTATATCAAACTCTTGGGGGCCCAGCATGGCCAGGCGGTTAGGGTGCTTGTCTCCCAATCTGCGGGTCGCAGGTTCAAATCCCAGTCCCACCAAACATGCTCACCCTTTCAGCCATGGGGGCGATTATAACGTGACAGTCAATCCCACTATTCATT